TGTGTGTGTGTGTGTGTGTGTGTGTGTGTGTGTGTGTGTGTGTGTGTCAGTATGGAAGGCCAGCCCGTCTCAGTCCTGTGCAGCCCTGCTCTGCTGGTGGATGTGGACAAAGTCAAGAGGAATGCCCAGAGGATGATTGACCGCTGCCAAGAACTGGGAGTCCAGCTCCGGCCACACATGAAGACCCACAAAACGCTGTGTGTGTTCAAACTCACACACACACACACAGCTTGTCGTGTCAGCAGGGCCGTGTGTGAAGGATCCTGACGCTCTGTTTGTGTTCACCTGCAGCGAGTGCGCTGACATCATGACGGCTGGATCACGAAGGTGCATCGTCGTCTCCACCCTGGCAGAGGCCTGTTTCTACGCCGATCATGGATTCGATGACATCCTCTATGCGTACTCTGTCCCCTTTGACAAGGTTCTTCAGTTTACACCATGAGCTGTGTCTCTGCTCTTTACTCACACTCACTCACTGAGCTGTAAGACTGGTTACAACTCACCTCTGCAACAGGAAACACTACAGTTTGAATCTGAGGTGTTGCACTATTAGCTGCACTTCAAACAGTAAAAGTTGCACTGCATGTTTTTAGATGGAGCGTTGTGCAGCTCTGTCAGAGAGGCTGGATCTTTTCCAAGTTTTGTTGGATCACCCTGATGCCCTGGAGCAGCTCAAACGGAGGCCTCTGAAAGATGGCCGGCAATGGAACGTCTGGCTGAAACTCGACTGCGGCAACGGAAGAGGTAACCGTGCTGGAAACTGTACTGCAACTGGTCAGAGGCTTTAAACACCTGCTGGTTCTGTGTTTTTACTCCTCGTCACAGCTGGAGTCCTGCACTCGGAGCCTGAGGCGCTCAGGCTGGCCCAGGCCATCGCAGAGACAGAGGGGGTGGAGCTAACAGGTGTGTACGTCCACTGTGGGAACACCTACAGCTGCAGAGGAGTGGAGCAAATTCAGGCTGTCGCTCAGGAAACCACCAACTGCACCCTGCAGTTCATGAAGAAGTAAGCTCGGACATGGAGACAGAAACCAGCAGAAGATAAATAAAATTAATAAATCTAATTAAATGAATAAATCAAATCAAATGTATTTTTGGTTAAAGCTAGAAAATAACATTTTGTACAATATTGTGACGTCCTGTGTGTGTTTTAATGATAGGTTAGCAGTCAGCTGTTACCAACACATTTTACATCACCTTCTGTAAAGTTCAATGAGGTGTAGCCATTTTTGTGTTTTCTACAGTCAGTTGCCTGTGGCAGCCATCTTGAATTAGGTTAACTAAGTTAACCAGCTGTAGATGTGTGACCCTTGATTATTTTCTGAAGGTTTGAATAAAATCTGTTCAGTGGCTAATGAGAGCTTTAGCTAAAGGTAAGGACAAATTAACACAAAGACGCTGGACGGATGGATGTCTGGATGAATGTCTATTCTCAGAGTCAGAGTTTCTTTATTGTCATTCGCACCTCATGTGGTACATGTGGTGGAGCGAAATTATGTACACAAGGTCCCAGTTACATCCAACAATAAAATGTATAAGAAAAACAGTAATAAGATCTAAGATATGAACCAAGAAAAACATCAACTAAATATACACTAAGCACTCATAACATAAAACATTGAACATCAGCACAAACATGAACATGAGTCTGTGAGCAGATGTGCACGCATGAACACATCAACATTTAAACAGATCAGCAGCAACATGAAACAGATCAGCAGCAACATGATATGGTTTTTCACAGTGATTATTCTAGTTAGATATTCATGAGTCTAACAGCCTCAGGGTAGAAGCTGTTCCTCAGTCTAGTGGTTCTACACTTTATGCTCCTCAACCTCCTTCCTGAGGGGAGTGGGGCAAAAAGTGTGTGTGCTGGGTGAGTGGGGTCCTTCATGATGCAAGTGGCCCTCTTCCTGCATCTGGAGGTGTAGATGTCTGTGATGGTGGGGAGGCTGACTCCAACAGACTTCTGTGCAGCCTTCACCACTCTCTGCAAAGCTTTTCTTTCTGCAGCTGTGCAGCCTCCATGCCACATGTTGATGCTGGAGCACAGGATGCTCTCCACTGCACACCTGTAGAAGGAGGTGAGGACTGAGCTTCCCAGACCAGCTCACCTCAGCCGTCTGAGGAAGTAGAGTCTCTGATGAACTTTCTTGATCAGGCTGGTGGTGTTGTTGCTCCAGCTGAGGTTGTCATTCATGTGTACACCCAAGTACTTGTAGCTGGAGACCACTTCCACCGCAGATCCTCTTATGTTCAGGGGGGTGTAGATGTTTTTGTTCCTTCTGAAGTCCACAATCGTCTCCTTTGTCTTCTTCACATTTATGTGAAGGTTATTCTCTTTGCACCAGCTCTCCAGGTGTTCCACCTCTTGCCTGTAGCTGGACTCATCATTGTTTGTGATGCATCCCACCACCGCTGTATCGTCTGCAAACTTTGCAATGTGACAGCCTGGATGGGTAGCTGCACAATCATACGTGAGCAGAGTAAACAGGAGGGGGCTCAACACACATCCCTGAGGAGAGCCAGTGCTGAGGGTTATGGTGGAGGAGGAGAAGTTGTGGATCCTCACTAACTGTTGTCTGTTTGTTAAGAAGTCTTGTACCCAGTTGCAGATGGAGGGGCTTAGTCCTAGTGTGGATAGTTTGTCCATCAGGGTTTGGGGGATCATGGTGTTGAAGGCGGATGTGAAGTCCACAAAGAGCATACGGACGTAAGAGTTTTTCTGCTCCAGGTGGTTGAGAGCAGTGTGGACCACAGAGGAGATGGCGTCCTCTGTTGATCGGTTCTCACGGTATGCATACTGATGAGGGTCCTCGTTGATGGTTGTTTTGATGTGAGTTATGACCAGTTTTTCAAAGCATTTAGCGACTATCGGGGTGAGGGCCACTGGCCGATAGTCATTCAGACCAGTCACTGTAGAGCTTTTTGGGACTGGGATGATGGTGGCAGTCTTCAGGCAGGTGGGAACTGTCTCCAGGGTAAGTGAGGTGTTAAACATGTCTGCCAGCACCTGGCAGAGCTGATCAGCACATTCCTTCAACACTTTTCCGGGGATGTTGTCTGGGCCAGTTGCTTTGTGCGGATTAATCCTCCTGAAGGTACTCCTTACTTCTGCTGAGGTCACGCTGAGATGCTCTTCATCCGGTGGTGAGGTGAGTCTGGTGCTGGGTGGTCTGTTCGGGTCTTCAAAGCGTGCATAGAACTTGTTGAGGGCATCAGGCAGAGATGGGTCTTTGGGACATTGTTCACTCCTTCCTTTATAATCTGTTATGCACGTAATGCCCCTCCACATGCTCCGAGGGTCTTGTGAGATGAATTGACCCTCGATCCTCTGTGCATATGTGGCCTTGGCCCTCTTAATACCAGCAACCAGCTCTTTTCTTGTCCTACTCAGCTCCTCTGAGTTTCCAGACCTGAAGGCAGTGTTCCTGGCTTCCAGCAGGGTACGCACCTCTGCATTCAGCCAAGGTTTTCTGTTTGGGTAGCTTTTAACATTTCTGATAGTGGAGACTGTGTCAGTACATGTACTAATGTAACCCAGAACTGAGGATGTGTATTGGTCAAGATCAAGCGAACATCCATTTTCAGCAGCTTCTCTGAAAATCTGCCAATCTGTTTGGCCAAAACAATCTCTCAGTACAGGGCCACTGTCCTGGATCCAGCATTTAACTTTCTTTTGTACCGGTCTGGAGCATCTCAGCGGGGGCATGTAAGCAGGAGCCAGGAAGATTGAGATGTGGTCTGACAGTCCTTGGTGGGGGTGGGGTTCGGCTTTGTACGCATCTTTTACGTTAGTGTAAACACGGTCCAGCGTCTTGTCTCCACGTGTCGGAATTGTCACATGCCTCCCAATTAAAGCTTGGGAGACAGTCCTTTAGATTCACGTGGTTAAAGTCTCCGGCTACAACGTAAAGAGCCTCGGGGTGTTTGCTCTGCAGCGAGCTGATGATATCATGAAGCTCCTGTAGTGATTCATTAGCATTAGCATCCGGAGGAATGTAAACGACAGGATAAAAGTCACTGTGAACTCGCGGGGTAGATAATGTGGCCGGCATTTCACAGTTATTTGCTCCAAAACCTTCGAGCATGAGCTATTTACAACAGTACAGTTCGTGCACCAACTTCTACTCACGTAAATGCATACTCCGCCTCCCCGTGATTTCCCCGTTAGTTCGCTGCAGTGGTCCGCTCGAAAAAAAAGTCTGTCATCCAGCTGGAAGACTGTATCCGGCGTTTTGCTTGTAATCCACGTTTCTGTGAGGCAAAGCATCGCACACTTCTTCATCTCTTCTGAGGCGCCCGCTCTCAGACGAAGTAAATCCACCTTGTTGTCCAACGAGCAGACGTTCGACAGAAAGAGAGACGGCATGGGGAGTTTACCAGCTTTAGCGTTAGCCTCACCATAACCCCCGCCCGGCATCCTCTCCTCTTAAGCCGGGAGCAGCGCTTCCTCTTCTGCCCGCTGGAACGCCTCTGCTGCAGCTTCCAGGTAGATGACTTTAAGATCTGCATTCTGCCGAGCGTAGTTTTGAGTTTGTTGCTGATTTCTGCTATATTTCGTGGCAAATCCGCTCCTATTCTCATCAGTTCGGTTCGGCTATAGTTCACACGCATAAATCGCGCGGAGTCAGGCACAGAGTCAATATCAAAACTTCTAAAAACTGGGATGGTACTGGGAGCCTGTGAAGCTGCTACTGCTCTGAGCGCGGCCATCTTTTCTGAAGGGAAATGAAGATGACGTGCGACTGAACTCAAACAAATGGGCATATGTCAAAGTTTGCATGAGTAGAAAAGCGCGTCGTGACTAATTCTTTCAGCTGTTTCCTCCTCGGGGGTCTCCTCCATCTCACTCGGTCCTCACTCCAACTACCTCCATGCCCGCTCTAACTGCATCCATATATCTCTTTGTCTTTTTCCTGGTAGCAGCATTTCAAACATCCATCAGCTGACTTTCATTCCTCTTCTTTCAAGTGCATACCTCCACCTCTCCAAGTTCTCTTCCACCTGTTCCCTGTTAAATGGACTGTACTTATATAGGGCCTTTCTATCTTATTTCAAGACACTCAAAGCGCTTTACACTACAATCTGTGTCCTCATTTACCCATTCATACAACACTCTACTAGGTCTCTAGAAAGCTAATTGAACAAATCATTCTAATGAGACTAATCAGTGCTTTAGATCACATTCATACACTGATGGGACACACATCGGAGGCAATGAGGGGTTCATTGTCTTGCTCAGGGGCACTTCAGCATGTGACTGCTGGTGGATTCGAACCCCCAACTCTCACATTGGAGGACGACTGCTCTAACCACTCAGCCATAGCCGCCTCTGTTCTCACCACAGATCACAATGTCATCTGCAAACATCATAGTCCACGGGGATTCCTGCCTGACGTCATTTGTTAGTTGGTCTATCACCAAAGCAAACAAGAATGGGCTCAGTGCGGATCATTGATGCACTCCCACCTCCACCTTGAAGCTATCTGGCACTCCTACAGCACATCTCACCACTAACTAACGGGAACTAATGTTGGTGATCACAGAAAGGCAGGGTTGCTTTCTTAGGCTCTTTGTTTGAAAGGGTTTTTTTTTTTTTCATTCTACCTTTATTTAAACAGATAAATCACAATGAGCCTCGAAGACTCATTTACAAGTGAGACCTGTTTGGACAAACAAAAACTGGTTAACTGGACACATGTAGGAGTTGGAGGCGAAAAAAATTCGTATCAGACTTTTTTTCGCGCTTGAGGAAAAAAACCCTCTAATATTAAAAAAACACCTCGCACAAACAAGCACATAGTGACATAGACATTCTGCAGAGGGGGTGAGCCGAGAGCGGTCAGCATGTTCATAGATGCTCTCTCTCGAGGTCACTGTAAGAGTTCTGATAAGGATGGAAAATCAGTCAATGTCCTCCGGTGAGATCCATAAACATTCTCGAGGTATGTCGAGGAAAGGCCAAGAATAATGTCTATGAGAATCCAAGAGTCCTGAAATGATGACATAAAGTTTATTCTGCTGGTTTCATCTGGTTATCAGTTGGAAATTCCTCAGGGAGGGGGTGGTGAGCGTTAGATCACATGTTCTCCAGGCGAATTCAGATAAGATGACCTTCAAGGCCAGCCAAGGGAGAGATAAACACACAGTTGTTTTGGGGACAGGCAGAACCTAATGACATCTACCTTTAGTCTGTGTTGGTCGACTCGGTTCCGAAATGTCCAAAATACATGGCCACACCGATGGAACATGACTGAGTAAAATCACCAAGATCTGATCCATTCAGCCCAAAGTATTTGAGTCCGGGTACTCGAGACACGAACCAAGCCATCATAAAGGCAAGCAGCGTGATCGGGTCCAAATTTGCTGCCGACGACTTCCTTGATTGTAGAAAAAACCAGCAACCAGCCAAATCCAAAAAGCAGAAACCAGTTATCGTAAATCCAATTTAAATATGTGTCCTTAAAATCCACAGATGGCAGCAGATATAGACACATCATCAAGTCTTCCAGTCGATGAGATATCCAGCTGCGTACGTGCCAACAGGGTAAATCGGCTCGCCTAAATCCTGTCTTCTCTTTGAAGAAATGTTGTAAATTGAGTTGAGGGACCAACTGATCAAAACAAGTCCATAATTATGGTTCGGAGGAAATGCAAGAGAGGCTCACAAGCAGTTTCACAGACAGACAGAGCGCAAAGCAAAGCAGAGAGGGAGGGGAGAAGCATCCGATCTTGGCGAGAGCAAGTGGTGAAGTGTTGGTGGAATGTTTAGTTTTTTAAGGTAAATTTGTTGGAAAATGGGTAGGAGGAGGACACAAGTACAATTTTTATATTTAAATTTTTGTGTAGCGCAAACTCTAACACTGATGTTATCAAACAGACACTGTTGGGAGCTTATTATCTCCATGTGGATGCATGTGGCACCAGTTATCAGTCAACTTAGTTTTTTTTAGTTAATTGAAGTTAATAATCAATATGCTTTGTTTGTTTCCTTTTCTGCAGACTGAATGCTATCGGTATCAGCTGTAAGTCCAGCATCGGCTCCACCCCTTCCTGTAGTCAACCAGTCCACGACATGGCAAAGCTGAGCGAGGTGCATCCTGGGAACTACGTCTTCTACGGTGCGTTCTTGTTGATGTATTTGTGCATTTTTGCTCTTTTCAAGTCTAAATAATCTTACTGCACAACCAAACCAACGCACTACTTGTGATTGTTTTCGTGTTTGGGCGTGCTGTAGACGTGCAGCAGTCAGGGATTGGCTCGTGCATCCTGGAGGACGTGGCTGTGAGGGTTTTAACAAGAGTCATTGGACACTGTCCACACAGGAACCAGCTCCTGATCGACTGTGGCTGGAGTGGAATCAGGTACAACTAAACTGTTGATACAAATCAGTAACACACTTGGCGGCTGGAACGGAAAACAAGTAAAATAACTTTTTCTTCTTCCTTTCAGTCTGGATGGAGCTGGAAAACTTCCTACTGGATATGCTGTGATTGAAGGGCATCCAAACCTCAAGTAAATGTCTGCTATCTTCTCTCTAATCTTCAAACTGAACTCAGGTGTGACTGAGTTACTAATGTGGGATGTTTCCCTCCAGGTTGTTGTCCATGACTCAGGAGCACGGGAGAGTAGAGCCCATCTCAGGTCCACTGGACTACAGCAAATATCCACTGGGCACTTCGCTCATGTTGATCCCCTACCATGTTAGTACTGTTTTCTACAACCTGCTCAGTTGTCCTTCAAACAGGTTTTATTTTTCTGTTATGTATCTGTTTAACAAATCCATTTTTAATTTATGTTTTTTAGTCGTGTGCGACAGCCTTGATGCATCCTGTGTACTACGTGCACTCTGAGGGTCGTCTGGTGGGGAAGTGGACACCCACTCGCGGGTGGTGAACCTATCCAGTGCTTCACTTCTACAACACTGTTAGCTGAAGGATCTTGTCCACTTCATTTGATCTGTAGTTGATAAAAAAAAACTGTGGTTAAAAAGATAAAAGGAGGACTTCATTTCAGAATATGTCACATTCCAAATGACTCTTCCACTAAGAAATAGTGCAAAGTTAGCAGCTCTTTTCACCTTCTGTTAGTGAAGACAAGGGCACACGGGAAAGGTTTTCTGTCCGATGTCAAAATTAAAAAAAGTTAAAGAAACATTGTGTTTCCTGATTGTTTTCATCACATTATGATCAGTTTTTTGTCAGCTTTATATGGTGGTGGACAGGTGCAAACAGCTCTGCAAACAGGGAAACGCATGAATTCATTCAACCTTTATTTATACAGGATAGTCTCAATGAGGGCAGCACGGTGGCGCAACTGGTAGAGCTGCTGCCTCTCAGCGAGCAGGTTCCTGGTTCAAACCCCGGTCCAGGGGCCTTCTGGGTGGAGTTTGCATGTTCTCTCCGTGCATGCGTGGGTTTTCTCCGGGTGCTCCGGTTTCCTCCCACAGACCAAAAACATGCATGTTAGGCTGATTGGTAACTCTAAATTGTCTCTAGGTGTGAGTGAGAGAGTGAATGGTTGTTTGTCTCGTTTGTCTCTATGTGGTCCTGTGATGGACTTGCGACCTGTCCAGGGTGTACCCCGCCCCTCACACAGTGATTGCTGGACATGGGCACCAGCGACCCCCGTGACCCAAAATAATAAACGGGTAAAGAAAATGGATGGATGGATGGATGGATAGTCTCAATGAGTCGCGAGGACTCATTTTCTAAAGACCTGTAGGAATATAAATGACACAATCTCAAAAATACACAAACATGAAAAAAAACAAATGCAACAGAAAAACTGCAATCGCATAAAATAGAAGAAAAACATACAACCAACAAAGGAAAAACGCTACAAATAACAAAAACATTATTTTACCACTTATTTTGTCAGTATTTTACTGTGTAAACATGAACATGTTCAAGTATTTGTTTATTTGTGTTTTTTAAACTCTAAATTAAACAAATGCTAAAACTTGCACATTTCAGTAGTTTTCAGTAGGTTTCCGAGACTTGGCTCGAAGTGCATCTTGGGAAATGTAGTTCTGACTGAACCTCGCGTTTTAATTGGCTACTGCGTGACTTCCCCGTCACGTGGTTTAAAATCTTCAGTGGGATGGCGCGGAAACTTGTCATACTGCTACCGCACAACTAAACCTTGTTTTTAAAGTTTTGTTTACATTTTGTTGAATATTGTTCAGCAGGTACGTCACTTGTGTTGCTAACGGGTTTAGTGTGGAGTCTCGTGAATGTCCGCTGTGCGTTTTATTCAGATTTTAGGAACAAAACAAATGGACCCGTCATGGCAGCTAACCCATCGTGTTGTTTTGGTAGAAATGAGTGTGCTGGAGGTGAAGTTCGTCGGGGATGGGGATGTTCTGGAGCACATCGTGGACAAGCAGGAAGGTATGGGCTGTGTCTCAGTTCCTGAGCAGGTCTGTCCCCTCGGTGTGTCTCTGACCCTCAGTTTGCTCCTCCAGGTGTTCAGAGCAGCTCTGGTTCTGTCCAGAGGATGGTGAAGTTCAAGAGCCCGGCTGGACCGCGGGGCTGCAGACAAGAAGCTGAGCTCCATCATGATGAAAGTGGAGCCCAGGATGAGCAGAATTATGTCCAGGCTTTGGGGACAGAAAACACTGAAGGTATCCCACACATCTGCTCCATCACTACAGACTGGTTCTGGTTCAGTCCACATGTCTCTTCACCAGATTGCTGGAGTCTTGAGGAAATACTTGGGCTTGGATTCAAACAAAGTCCAGCCAAGTAGAGACAGATAAGTTGGTTCCACAAGAGAGGAGCCTGATAACTGAAAGATCTGCCTCCCATTCTGGTTTTAGAAACACTAGGAACCACAAGTAAACCTGCAGTCTGAGAACCAAGTGCTCTGTTAGGAAAATATGGAACAATAAGATCAGTAATATAAGATGGAGCTAGGTTGTTGAGAGCTTTGTAGGTTAGAAGATTTTAAATTCTGACAGGGAGCCAGTGGAGAGAAGCTAAAACTAGAGAGAGATGATCTCTCCTATCAGCTCATTAAAAGTCCGGCAGCAGCATTTTGGATCAATGAAGACTTGTTTTACTGACCTCCTGAAAATAAATAATTACAACATTCCAGTCTAGAACTGATAAATGCATGGAGCAGTTTTTTGTGCCGCACTGCAGACTCCAAAAAAAAGGAGTGGGGTGAGAGGGGAGTGAAGGAAGCCATCTATGTATAAACAGAAACTATCTTTAAACAGAGGAGGAGGTCTCAGATTTCAGCTTTCAAAAACTTACTACGCAGCTTTAGGACTGATGCCCAGCCATCTTCACGCCTATCAGGATTCCAACCATGTGACCAGAGTGGCCCCTCAGTGTGTGGGACTAACAACGACCCTAACGATCCTTTGTTGTGAAGAGTAAGAGGTCAATCTGCATTATGCGAGCTTACAGAACACCTTCTTTATAATTAGCACTTGAATCCCACACTCCTAGTTTCTTTGAGATGAAAAGCGAAACGTCTTCAAATGCATGGAGCATGCATCAGGATGTCTTCAAATAAAGTTCTGCTGTTTTGTTTTTAACCTTTTTTTGGATTTACCATGTCCTGGATGACGGAGAATCTTCACCTGCGTCTCACTGCAGACTGAATAAATGTGCTTAAAGCTGTTTGTAACTCTCGCATTAGTGAAAAGTACCTTCTTGGTAGTACTGTAAATACACTGCAAGTAACATGATTTTTGTGACTTCACAGAAAACGATGATAATCTGTCGAGAGTAGCTGGTTCCTCCATTTTCACCTTCCAGAAAGTGAAACGAGGCAACAAGATGGCCCAAACTGGTGAGAGCCTCTGATTTATTCTCACCTGAACGCTCTAAATTTAATCATTGTTTATCTGCAGCCGTGAAGTCGTGGGGATTTTTAGTATTGCTAGTTTTACTCTTCACAGCGAGCGAGCTGGCCCGGACTCCTGGGAAAAGTGTGAGCTTTGGCACGACGGCAGATATCGAACCTGAAACCCCGACTCGAGCAGGCCACAGTAAGTCCAGCAACCCCAGCACCACCTGGATTGTTTTTTCATTTTAGGTGATTAATCTTTATTCTGATTTTATTAAGACCACAGAGGTGAAAACCGGACGCCACAGAGGGTAAGACGCCTAACAATCTTTGTCATTTTTAATGTTTGACTTGTTTCAGTCTCATCTTTTCAACGTCTTTAAAACAGAGCAAGAGAGTTCAGTTTGTCTCCACAACGCCGCACAGACTCAGGAAGAGACTAACAGGTGAGTCTAATGCGGTGTAATGGGAAAAAGAAAGCCCATCCTCTTTCATCCTGGGGTTTTACACGTCAGAACTTAATTTAAATTTAAAATAAAAGTTCAAAACTGACCTCAAGTGTACAAAATATTCAACAGATTCCTCCGTGTCATTAATTATTAAATACAAATGAAGCCAAAATGGAAAGGTTGTGTTTGAAAAACAAAGTCCTCTGAAGTGCTGCTAAGGTGTGTGTAAACACAACACCAAGACAGAAAGACATCAGCAATGACCTTAGAGAAGCAGCTGCTGACGCCCATCAGTCAGGGAAAGGTCAAAGGTCATTCCTAAACAGGTTGGACTCCATTATTCTACACAGAGAGAGTGGAAAATATTTAAGATAGCCGACAGTCGTTCCAGGAGTGGACGTCCCTGCAAATGCACCCCAAGGTCAGACCGTGCAATACTCATAAAAATGTCCCAGAGCTCCATGTCAGACTGTACAGGCCTCGGTTCGCGGGTTAAAGGTCATGACAGGAGCATTAGAAAAAGGCTGAACATGTGTGGTTGTTTAGAAGGTGGCAGAAGAAACCTCCTCTCTAAAAACATCATGACAGCACAACATCTGGATGAACTTCAAGACTTCTGCAACAACTTCTGACCTTTGGACATATAAGACAAGAGGACAGCTGTTTACCCATAATGCACAGAGCCACGTTTGGCAGAAACACAACAGCTCATCGACACAAACACCTCTGATTAAATGTCAGCTGGACGGTGGAGGGCTGATGATTTGGCTTGTTGTGTAGACACAGGACCTGAGCTCCTCTGTAGACCTGAGGACTCGAGTCCAATGTGGGACCAGCAGTGATGATCCCAAACACAGCCGCTAATCTAAAACGGTTAGGGTTAAAATAACAATAACAAGAAGTAGACTTTGTTCTGAAGCTGGAGACATTTCTCTTCCCATCCAGGAGTCTTCATCAGTTCTAAAACATCTGGAGTGTGTGGAGCTCCAAGCTCCAGAACTTCAGGAGAGGTCTGGATGTGTTCTTAGATTCAGCTGCAGGTTAGACTGGCACTACTCACCCTCACAGTGGAGGCTCATCAGGATCTTTGTCTGCCTGGATCACAGACAGATGTTTGGGTCACCTTCATGAAGGTGTGGCTTGGACTGGAGCTGACCTGGAATCAGGTCTAAAGCTGCTGTAAGTGTTTGAAAGTTGAAACCTGAGACCTCCTCCTCTGTTTTAAGTTGTTTTTTCTTGTTTGATGTAAATGTCTTTCTTCACCTCCCTCTCAACCCATCTGTCCTCTCTGTCCAACATCTGGACCTGCTGGTCCTCAGCAGAGTGTCCCTTATCCTTGAGGTGTAGGTGGACCACTGAGTCTGGTTCTGAAGAGCAGCTCTGTATCCATGCATCCAGCAACATCTGGGCTGATGTTTGCTCTTCTCTCTGTTCTGCAGTGTGTTTCTTGGATTTGTTTGCTGACTGAAGGTCCAGTTAGGATCTCCACAGGTTTGGAGAGCTCCTTTGATCTGGTTCTGTTCCTTCTGTATTTGTGGGGACACCCAGTGGGGTGAAGTTCTGATGACAGAAAGTTTGTGTTCCGGTGGGCGGTGAGAGTCCAACAGAAGGTTCTGGTCCGTGTGAGCATGTTTCCTGTAAACTTCAGTGTTGAGCCTCCAACAGTCCATAAAGACAGCTTGTTGTCTCTGATGTCCTCTGCGTCTCTGTCTCTCGTTGTCTCTGGCGTCCTGTCTCTTCAGAGACAGTGTGGGACCTTCAGAGAGCGGAGCAGAGCCTTGATGAAGTGAGGCGACGCTGTCAGTAGGAGTGGGCCAGACTTCCTGTAGAGATGGTTCTACTGGTCTCAGCCTTTCAGTTTGAGCTTCTTGTTGTTCAGTAAGAGATGGAGGAATCTGTTGTTTGTTCCCTGAGGATCATTCCAGGTTCTCATATGTAGACTTCCTTTGACCCGTGACGGTTGACGTGGTCTCTGCTGGTTTTCAGCGGCGAGTCTTGGCTCAGACAGCGACAGTGAGCTCTCGCCTTCGGACTCTGGAGAGGAGGAGGAAGACGAGCACCAGTTTGAAGAGGAGCAGAAAGGAAAGAACGAGGATAAGAAGAACTTTAGAAACTCCCAAACTCCCAGTAAAAAGTTATTGGCAGCTCTCTACAAGACTCCTGCCAAGAGGACCAGGACCACAGCAACACCCCTCAGCCAGCCCACCATGACCGAGGAGTACTTTGAGGCTCACGGCAGCTCCAAAGTCCTGACGTCGGACCGGACCCTGGAGCGTTTGCACACCCCTAAACTCAACAGGGTTTGTAAAGTGCAGCCAGTGGTGCAAACATCATGACGGGTCTTTACAGTTCAGACTGAATTTATGTTTTGTTTGTTCCAGGAGAGTTTAAATCACCTTTTAGAAGATAAACCTTCATGTTACTTAGAAGAGCTCCAGCAGCTGCAGGACAAACACAGAAAGCACTTTAATAAATGGATGTTGCACTTACGGTAAGTCTGGCTGCCTTTCTACATCTTCACAAGTGTAAAACGCTGACGTGTCTGCTTGTTTCCAGGTTGGGGTTCAGCGTTCTGGTCTACGGGTTGGGCAGCAAGAAGGCTTTGCTTGAGCACTTCAGGGAGTCTCATTTGTCACAAGAGGTTCATCTCGTGGTCAACGGATTCTTCCCCTCCATCACTCTTAAATCAGTTCGTATTATTATTGAAGCGCACATTAAAGAACTTTATATTCATCAGGGTTGTTGACCACAGTCCTTTTGGTTTTGTTTCAGATCTTAAATGCTCTGACGTGCGAGGTTCTGGAGCTGGAGGGAAGTTCTCGAACCCCTGCAGATCAGGTCCAGCTCGTCTCTCAGACACTCGGAGAACGTAAGTTTGGGAACTCTTGTCTTGTTTTTGCCAGACCAGTTTTCCATCACCCAGCTTGTCCCTGCAGGTCCAGATCTCCACGTGTATGTGCTAATACATAACATTGATGGACCAATGCTGCGAGGAGAGAAGACCCAGAGTGCACTGGGGCAACTGGCATCCCTGCCAAACCTGCACCTGGTAGCTTCTATAGACCACATCAATGCTCCGTTAGGTGGGTGGCTCTAGGGCTCAGCTCTGCGGTGTCGGTCGCAGAGATTGCAGCTAAAAGTTTAATTTATGCTTCCAGTGTGGGACCAGTTCAAACAGAGTCAGTTTAACTGGTTGTGGTGGGAGTGTGTGACGTTCCAGCACTACGCAGAGGAGACATCGTATGAAAACTCACTGCTGGTGCAGCAGACCGGCGCTCTCGCTCTGTCCTCCCTCACCCACGTGCTCCGCAGCCTGACGCCTAATGCAAGGTACGACGGCCATGTTGGTTTTACTGCACTGGTGATGGAATGTACGGGGAGCTCCAAGACATGTTTCAGGATTTAACAGAAACAAGCAGAATGACCTGCAGAGCTGTGAGAGCTACAGAGATAAAGTTCATGAGCCATGAAGACATGAGAAACAGCTAATACACCGACGTCCTCCCTGGTGCTGAAAGATTTTAGAAATGAGCGTTTATTGTTTTTGAGATGAGTGATAGAGGAACGTTGGTTTGAGAGGGGAGTAAAGAGAAACTGTCCATCTTTAAAAGGGGCGGAGCCTCCGGGTTCAACTGTCCGCCTCTTACAATGCTGTTATTGCTAGTATCACTCAGCCCCCTGTGAACAGTAAACGGCCATCAGTGCATTAACCACCGGATGTCAGGCTGATGGTCCTCCATGATCATGTGAACAGCTAGTTCTGGATGTCAACAACAAACTGGTTGATCCGCCATGAGAAGGTGCTATTTATAAAACTGAGTTTATTGCAGCTCCTCAGACTGATGAAGGCTTTTGGATTAAAGCCGAAACGTCTCAACAAGTTTTTAATTTATTTATTTATTTTTCAAATTTTAATCCGTTCAGAGGACCTGATTCAACTTTGTTAGACGTCTGCTTTCATGTTTGCACTGAACTTAACAATTGGTTAAAATCCCTTAGAGAGGTCAAGTGGACAGCTTCAGATCTTGTTGCGAGGTGTTCCAGGTCACAGGAGCAGAGTAAGAGAAGGTCTTTTTGCTAAGTTCAGGGAACGCTGCAGGTAATGAAGGCCTGAGAGCGCACGCTGTAACTGCACTGACGACGTGATGTGGGAGGAGATGGAAGGCAGCAGACCAAGGAGGGATTTAAAGATGAAAATGTACCAATGAGAGAGAGCCTACATGAAGCTCAGGGGTCTGCAACATGTATGATGAAAAGAGCCATTTCTACACCTTCATTCACATGTCCAGAGTCACAACAACCTGCTACAACTGGTTATCAACTGGTGGCCCAGGGGCCACTTTAGGGTTGCTGTAGGAGACTTTTATGGCCAGTAGGGGTGACCTTATAAAGCTAAAAATATCTAATGATGTTTTATATTTATTAATATTTTTACAATTTAAGACAAATGAAAAGACCAGATTCTTGTAAAGAGGGGGAGAACAGTTAAAAAAACTATGAACTATGCAGACCTGTGATATTTGTAATTGTGGAAAAAATAATTAAGTATCAAAATGAAGCAAAAAATTTAAGTATTTGCAAAAGAAATGACAGGAAAACAGCTAAAACTAGTATGTTTTGTTTGTGTAACAACCAATAAAATTAATTTTATGTTAATTTTGGTCAAAGCTTGAGAGAGCTGCTGCAGAGGGACCAAAGAGCCGCAGGTAACAGACCCCTGGTGTGGATAACGATGACCAGTTAACCAGTGCATGGCAGCTGGCAGAGTTTACTTACATCCTCTGTTCAATTCCAGTCCAGAAAAACACTCATCTCCCAAACTACAAACATTCACTGTTCAAATCCCTCAGTGACGGGGGACATCGGTGTACTGCTGGTTTATTTGAGGTGTAAATATCTAGTTGTTGCACATCTAACTTGTAATTTGAGCATCTGGTGGTAATTTATTTGTTGTTGAACCGAAAAAGTCAACTTTTTATCCTAACTGAATCTTGTTTGTCTTTTCAACAACTGCTTCTTCGTTGTTCTCTCTTTGCAGAGGAATCTTTAAACTGCTGGTGAAGTTTCAGCTAGAAAACAAAGACAACCCTTCATACACAGGTGCGCAAACATTTACCGCTTGAGCCGGCTTCACAGTTCTCTGTAAACGTTTCCTTGTCTGCGCAGGATTATCGTTCCAGGACTTCTACCAGCGATGTCGAGAGGCGTTTCTGGTGAACTCAGACCTTACTCTGAGGACTCAGCTGACAGAGTTCAGGGATCACAAACTGATCCGAACACGCAAAGTGAGCGCCACTTTACTCGTCCCTCTTCTCCTGCAGGGTTAAAGCTGGTCTTTCTATCGTGCCCCCTCTTCTTAAAGGGCCCTACAACTACTTGCAAATATTGGCCTATGTATGTTATTTCTCTACTAAAAGTTGTTTGTGACACGTGAAAACTCCCAATTAATTTTAAAATGATCTGTTTATTACATTTTCCAATTAAGGACATGGCCATCATTTTACCGGCTCAATACATTCTGGGACGATGACAAACATCGTCTGTAGTGGAGACTGAAACTCAAGGAGTCGAGGCTAAAATGTTATAACGTAACAATAAAGTTATTATGTATTTGAGTCCTTAATTATGCACAGTATATGGGTCGAAACAACCAAACGTGATCAACGTGTGCCGTTTAATTAGCTCTGGAGCTAACGTGTAAACAGTCCTCTCCGCCAACACGCTCCTGCTCAAATTAAAGGGCTGAACAAACGTTCACGCTGGATGGAGCTAATCTGTACATCATTTACCCAGAATGCTTTGCAGCATAAACAATGGTGACATCTCTGTTTTTTTAATTTATAAAACTCAAACTGTGTACGGTCCTGATGCATGCTCAGTAATCCAGATAGATAATTATTAGTTATTTAAAATAGTTGTTATTTTAGATAATTATTAGTTATATATTATTATTATTAATTTTTTTTTTCTTCACTGGCTCTGTAACGAGGCGCATGCATTCCTTCCCGCTCCCTGTTCTCCTCCTGCTTTTTGCTCTCTGTCTGTGTATCGGAGCAGCTCCTAATTTTTTTTACACATCTCCTGAAATGAAAACTACTGTTTTGGATCTGACCAACTGGACTTTCGACGTATATTACAAATTCTTTTCAACAAAGCCACAAGGTCCTGGAGAACCCTCATCTGCTCGGAGGAGACGTGCAGCTGGATATATCTCTGGGGGTGATGTGTCTACCTCTGATATCGACCGAGGACGCTGAAATTGCCGATCATTGGATTTATAACAGGTTTCCTGTTTGGAATAGTCTGGATCCTGGTTTATCAACATACAAAGAAGACGATCGCAGCTCATTTGGACCTGGACAAGCTGCTGTCTATGAAGGTCTGGTTCATGCTGGAGGACTCAAAATCAGCTGATTTACGAGTGAAACTAAGTCAGAAGTGATTTGAATCACAGGCCACCTGCAGCTTTGGGACCCATCAGCATGAAAACACCATCTTGAAGAGGCTCATAAGCACGGGCCAGCAGAATGAACCCTAAGCTGGCCGTTTCGGACCTTGGAAAGTATCAGTACAGACTCGAGGCTGATGGAAAATAGTCTGCCTGAATAAACCAACAATTGTGGATTATCTGAACTTCTCCCCAGCTGGCCTCGGAACAGGCCGACTTATCAATTTCTCCTGGGAAATGTGTAAACTAAGGAAAATCTTTGTCTATCACACCCCCCACCCCCATTCTGTGGAGTCTTATCAGAACTGTGCCATCTGACCATCATCTTGTCAGGACAATGGACTAGCTAGGGCTTCATGGACCGCCTCGTTTGTAAATGCATATGTACGTGTTCATAAATGTGCTTTAGCCGGCAGAGTTTTTTAATGTCTTAAATCTTGTCCTGATAGGACAAGGTGTGAAGAGATCTTTTTTGTAATGCCACTACCCTCCTCATGGCTTTGTCCATTTTTTCTATCTAAATATATTATTCTGAATAAGAATTAAAAAGGCCGCGCTTTATAGCAGCAGCTTCGTGCACTCCGTCCATCTTTCGGATGACTGTACGTACACGTTCTCGTTGTATCTCGGTGCAATGATAATAAAGCTTGTTCTGATTCGGAGATAAATCCAGCCTTGTGAAACAGCCTACAGTCTGTTTTTTTCTGGTCTCGTTTCTATAGCTGAAGTATTTATCAAATAAGGTCTATTGTTCCAACTAGATGAAGATCCCTTTAAATCTTTTTTTTTCCTGTCGCTCCAGGGTGCAGATGGAGTGGAGTACCTGCTCGTTGCTGTGGATACGAGCACGCTGATGGACTTCCTGGAGAACGAGGAGGATGAATGAACGAAGTCAAAGCTGTCTTCAAGCAAATTTTAGCTGTTAGTCACTGACATGAAAACTCATTTCCATCTGTTTTTAAGATGGTATAAAACAAAATCAGTGTTTTACATCAAATGTTTGGTCTAAAATGCATCAATGTAGCAGAATGAAAACCTTCCTGTTTGCTGAGTAGACCCGAGCAAATAAAAGCAGCACTTGGAGTCAAACTGTTGCTGATTGGCGTCTTTAAATGCAGAATGAACCCCAACATTAAGCAAAACGTACATTATTTGTTCTTATAAGGCATGTGGGCATGCAGCTTTAAAAAAAAGAAAAGAATGGAAATTGTGAGTAAACACAGCCACAAAAACTCTGCAGGGAAATGAATTAAACGCAGTGCAGAGTATTGCACCACGGTTGTCTTTTTTAACCCCATGCTTTGAGTTCTACCGGGGGGGGGGGGGTTCTGATGGTTCTTTGCTATAAGATTAGTGCTGAATGTCAGTGGTTCTCTGAGCTGAAGGTCTTTGACCGTCTCCTGAGTCCAGCGTGAACGTGTGCAGCCTGTTCTGCGCGGCCGTGTGAACAATATGAAGCTCATCTTCATCCAGGTCCCTCAACAGAAGCAAAACTGCATCAAGGATGTGAGTCTGAAAACAAAGATCAGAAATCAAAGACGAGCACTTCCAGTTCAACGCTTTTCACACGCCTGTCCAAGGAGGATGACGTGCAGTAGTCTCCAAATATCCGTGAACTTCCTCCTGTCCCGCCCACAACTTCTGCTCAAGATCATCCAACATGATACACATGATACACATGCATCATCAGACAGTCTAGTACATCTTAAATCACTCTAGCTTCTAGGTCAAGGTCACAGATAAAGGTCAAAGTTAAAACAAGGTTTTTGATTGGGCCATTGCCATTTGAAGGAGCCTTTCATGGCACTCAAGGACACGGTACATGCAGTACAAAACAAATGAATAATGTAAACATAACTTAAATACAGGTAAAGTGTCCAAGAGGTTAAAGTGAATATTCAAAGAGGAGTTTTCATGCAAGGCTTGAACATCTAGAGGGTGGGGTGCTGAGTGACTGAATGCTCTGGAGCCCATAATGGTCAAGACGAGCAGATGGTTGGGTGGAGGAGGAGGACTGGAGCGTGTAGGTGGGTGTGCTGATGTGGAGGAGTTCTGTGAGTTTGTTGAGGGTGTGAAGGTGAGAAGATTTTGTAAGAAACCTGCTTTTGAATGGGGAGTCGGTGAAGATGCTGCAGGACTGACTGGAGGGGATCTGGAGATGATGCGAGCAGCTGAGTTTTGGACCAGGTGGGGTTTATAGATGGATGTAGGTAAACCAAAAACAATGAATGCAGTAATCTAGGCGGGATGTGACCAAAGAGTGAACAGGAACAGCAGTACAGTTGGATGAGTTGGATGGACGGAGACGAGCGAAGCTACAGAGGTGAAAGGCCAAACGAGTGATAGATTTCTGTATAACCGTTTGTCGACGGGCGTGTAATGTGCCATAAGCTCTTGTTAGATGTAGGTTGGTGCTGCTGCTGACAGAAGTTACCTTTCTCATTGTTTGTCTCTCCAAGGTAGGAGAAGAAAGAGAAGAAAACTTCTCTCTGGAGAGTGGCTTCATTCCCAGCTCTTCTCTGATTTTGCTGAAAAACAGAACAGGATTTTTTTGTTTTCTTTCTGAATACGTTTAGGCGCTTCTGTTCACAAAACCTACTTGGTCTCCTCCATGTTGTAGCTGAGCGCATCGTTCTCTGTCTCAGCATCTGTAGGGCCGTTGTTTGAAAGCTGGTTCTGGATGCTACCTGGGGGTGTGCTGACCTCTTCACCTTCCATGAGAGCGAGTGCGACTTCATCCTCAGTCACCACTGCACCCACAAAGAATGAAATAATATATATAACTGTTGGTGCACTTTGAAATATAATGTTCACTTCACTGGGTGATTTGTTAGGATTCAAGGCATGTGAGCAAAGTGCTTCAAAAGGTGAGGTAAAACAAACGGCGTGTGTGCAGACTTGTAAAATTACCCTGATTGTCGAGTTTGTGGAGGCGAGGCAGGCAGCGCAGCACAGTCAGGCGATACTTGCTTGGGTCACTTCCACAGCAGGGGTTTTCAGCCAACCAGAGCACCCGGAGACGTGTGAGCGGACACAGACACCGCAACTCGGAGAGAGAAGGAATCATGTTCCTCCTCAGGTAGAGCTCACTCAGAGATAAACAGCCAGCCAGGGGAGACAGAGATGTGATGTTGTTGACACTGCAGGTAAACAAACTAAATGTCAGGTATACTGGATCATACCGAGAGAAGCATGTTTATAAACTGGACCAACCTTAGTGTTAGCACCTCAATGTTAGGCATCTGAGAGAAGATAGAAATCTGAGGGGAAAAATTTACTCCATTCACCATTTCCAACATCATTCGGAAAGAACAAAAAAAAAAAGGCTTTTTATTAGAGCACAAATTCATTGTCCTTTATAGCTACTCATGCACGTGTGTTAAATCAGACACCACGCCCCCAAATAGGTTCCTATAGCCATTTCCTGTCGGCGTTAATCTCTGTTGTTTTGCTCTTTAACACGCTTTTTTATTGACTGTTATATACAAACATATTTGTAAAATAGTTTGGGGTATTTTACGTTGCGATAGCAACGTGCAGTGTTTTCAGGTGTCTGAGAGGCTGCAGAGCACAGCTAAAGGTTGACATGAACACTGTACTAAAAGGGTTGTAAGCCCAATCATCCAGGTAGATAACAATAAAAAAAAAAAGTTAAATCGTGTCCTCTGGACCAGTTTCTTTAAGTGAGAAACGTTTCGTCCCCCATCCAGAGGACTTCGTCAGTCTGCAGCCTGTCAACCAGATCTGTCCAATAAGTAGCCTTCACTGCTGTGTTTCAAGACAACCTCCTGTTGGAATCTCAAAACTAGGCTTTTAACATGTGCAAAACACACCCATCCAAAACAATCATCATCATGTATTGTGTAACAATCAAATGTTTTAGGCCAGATGACCAACTTGCTACTCACAGAAACAGCCTGAGGACAACCAAGGCCAAAGTGGATTTACTTCTACTTTGCCTACTTCTGAGATTCCAACAGGAGGTTGGCTTGAAACAGCAGTGAAGGCCACCTGTGGGACAGATGTGGATGGCAGGCTGCAGACTGACGAAGTCCTCTGGATGGGGGACGAAATGTTTCTCACTTAAAGAAACTGGTACAGATTACACGATTTAACCTTTTTTAATGTTTAAACTAAGTGTATTTCAACGAACCGGAAGCAGGCATCTAGACCACAACGTCAGTAAATACCTGCATGCACCTACACCTAATGCATGCGCATCCGTAACTATAAAAGTCAATAACAACATAAAGTGATTAACAACTCACGTCAGTCAGGTTACACCCCCTGCAAAAAATAAACGGAGTTACTTAAGTAGTACGTGTCCACTACAGCAGTCCACATGAACACCAACAACCCAGTTCATTGTTAGTTCAGTGTTTTAGATTGGGCTCTTACCAGCAGTTTAGTTTCTTCACACTTTCCAAGTCGGAGGCCTTAGCCTTAGCAAGGACCAATTTCCGTGTTAGCTTCATAGCATATCTTCGGCTTTCTCAAAAATCAATAACATTTTCAGAATAGTATCTATAGAAATATATAAATCTTAAACAATAAAGGCTCCATTATGACAGAGCTAGCGGACAAAACTCCACTCAGCTGCAAAGAAACGTTTTTTCGTTCACAATGTCACTGCGCATGCGCGTTTCTAATGAAGCGTCCTTAGTAACGGGTAAAAACAAAACTTTTTGTGTACGAGGCTTTTTTTTGTAACATTGTAATGAACATAACGCAGTAGACACATAAGTAAGTATTTAAAAAATATACTCTTTCACATAGATGTCATGTTTATTATTTGCGTTTTGTATTCTGTATGTCGTCTAAAACTCAAACTCCCACAATGCAGCCCGAGCGACTTGGTAAACCGCGCCTGCGCGTTGAGTAATCCCTCTTTGGACCTACGTCTCCACTGAAACTATGGTGAGGGTAGTCTCTCCTGCTGACAATCCGCGTCAATCTTTTAATTCTTGTGTTACAAATGATTATTTGACTCCATCGGAGGCTCCGTGGCAACCCATAATAGCTGTCTTGTTTTTTATCCGTATTAGTTATGCGATAGTTTCATTAACAAAGACGATGTTTTTATACCCCACTGAAACAGAAATGGCCGCCACCATAGCCGTTCTCATTGAGTTCTGGAGCCGGGCGGGCTAGTCATGTTAGCTCACCGTCACGCCACAATCGATTCATTTAGCACACTTTTTAGACATCACACAGTTGAACGAAAATAAAATAAAGTCCGCTGTTTTACAGAACAAGTTGAGTTTAAACTGAGCTGAAATTGTTGAGTATGTTGAGAGGACTGGAAGTGTGTGTTGAGCTAACATCTTGTCTCAGGAGCTCTACCTGTTTTCAGGTGTAGTAAGACTACTGGCACAGGTTTACAGGACAAATCTGTTAATCTAGTTTACAGATTGTGCTCAGAATATTTGAAATATAAACTCAGCACAGTGGGGTGAAGCGGGAGTGTTCACACGGCCAGATGGATGAAACCAGTCCAGTAAATGTCTGTTTCCACATTAAAGTTGTTTCCTGCTGTTTTCAGGCCAAGCGAACCAAGAAGGTGGGGATTGTTGGTAAATATGGCACGCGTTATGGCGCGTCGCTGAGGAAGATGGTGAAGAAAATAGAAATCTCTCAGCATGCTAAATACACCTGCTCCTTCTGTGGCAAGGTGAGTGTTCGAACAGTCCCTCGGTCCATGCAGCTTCAGAAATGACTGCATGGTGACATTAAGTCCAGATGTGCTTGGAGAATATCTGGTTGTCTCACAGATGGAAAACCTCAATTTTCAGACAAAGATGAAGAGGAGAGCTGTCGGCATCTGGCACTGTGGGTCCTGCATGAAGACGGTGGCTGGTGGCGCCTGGACGTACAAGTAGGTTCTTTATTTACCTTCTCTGCTCTTATTGAGCAACCGAGTGTCATCTGCATCCGTCGGCTCAGAAAACTCCTGTGTCCAGGTGTAAAAGGTTTCGTTCCCGCTTCATGTGTACGATCTGTGGACATTAGATTATAACTAGAGTTAGATTTAAAAGAATGGGAGGAACAGACGGTAAGCAGGCTGTTTTCCTGGATTTGATGAATGTTTTAATTTAAAGCTGCGTGAGTTTATGCACAAACTATGAATGCCTTAATATCCTATATACTTAATATGGGATGTTAAAGTATATGTTTGTACTTTTTGTGTGTAATTAGCAGAAACGTAATGGTTGTTGTGATGCCGAGCAGTAAAGCTGCTGGGTGTATAAAACCAGTCTGTACCTCCTGGATATGTTTCAATTCTTTTCTGTTGCTTCGTTATCTTTTAATAACACAAACCAAGATGGATGCGGTTTAATTTGACATTTTTAAGTTGATATTTTGCCTTGCTTCTAGAAAACACTTGTTTTTCTTCATTACTCAGCAGTAATGAAAGCTTTGGGTTTGGAGGTTTCTGGTTTGAATGTAACTCACCCATGACCTTGAGTTTATAAAATGCAATTTAATTCAACTTGTGTAGTTCCTGTTAATAACAAGTCGTCTCAGGACTACACAAAATAAACGAGTGCAGATCAGATGACTCCTTGTGTTATTTAAATAAAATAAATAAAAACATCTTCCTACACGTCCCCAAAAGAGAAACACTTTAAACACAACCTGCAGCTTCCTGGGAGTTATGGCTCACTTCTGAGCTCTTTACTGGTTTCTCTGGTGAGATAGATTTAATTTATTCTTACACCACGTGTTGATCATTTAAAACCCTTCCCTGTAAACAAAGCAACAGAAAGTTCGTTTTAATTTTTTAAAGGATTGGTCATGTCCTCTGTGCAGAAGTTTTGAGCTAAGTTCATATGTAAATATTTATTTATTTAAATTTTTTCAGCACAACATCTGCCGTCACGGTCAAGTCTGCGATCAGGAGGCTGAAGGAGTTGAAGGACCAGTAAACCTGTTCACAGCGATCATTTTGGATTTGGGACTTTTCTATAATCTAACCTGGCAGAATCGGACAACATCCAAAATAAAGCTGTGGAGCGGAGGCTTCTGTCTGTCCATTTGTTTTACGCATGGAAACTGACGGAAAAATAGATCTGTTGTCGAAACATAATAAATAAATAAAAAGCTGTCACAAAGGAGTTCTCCTTCCAAGCTGTGGGATCTTTTAACATCGACGCCGTTTTTAAACGTTTGTATTTTCTCCACATGAATTATTGATCAGAGAATGAGATCAATTCCTGCCAGTTTACTAAAAACAACTCCAGTCAGAAACCAGTTGGTTGCAAGTTCCAAAACCGTGATCAGTCTCATGACGTTCTCTGTAGCTCTTTCTGTATCAAAATCTGTTATGGAAAAATTCAACTTTGGGGGTTTAGAGTCGACAGACTAAAACTAAATCAGTACAGGGCCTCAGGTGGACCTGCAGAGGGTTAAAGTTCCTCTAAATGTTTCTGTGCTCCTGCTTCAGGTTTATTAAAACTCATCATATATATACATATGTCACACACACATATATATATATATATATATATAAACCAGTTGTGTAACCTGTCCTATCATAAACACTCAGAGGCTGATGGGTTGGATGAGGTGGCACTTCACTTTAAATGAGTGGTTCAGACCATAAACAGCGTGGTCAGCTCTTCTACTGTCTCAAACATCACAGCTGAGCATCAGGAAGACTCGAGATTTTCAAATATCTGTTGCAATGTCTTTTAACAGTACTCTTTTTAACGTGATCAATCAATCAACCTTTATTTAGACGGGTAATCCCCAAAAATGTCCCCCGGGCGCTTTCAATAGCTGCCCACTGCACCACCTGGTGGTGGATGGGTTAAATGCAGAGACTAATTTCGCCATTGTATGGAAACACAGTGCTGACATTGTGATGATATTATTATTATAATTATTAAATCCCATTGAGCCTCGACTCATTGACAAGAGAGACCTGATTGATGACAACAATGGACAACAGCAACAACAATAAACAGTTATAAAAAGTCATACTGCAGGGGGGGGGGGTTTGTTTTTTTACAAATAGGATGGCTAAAAGGAAAAGGTAACCAAAAAAAAAAACCATCTAGATTCTAAGGCGAATGTAGAAAACTAAAAACGAACATGTCAGCGTTGGACCCTGCCAGGAGTCCAAAAGATTCTTAAAGTCACTTAGAGAGGTCAAGGTCGAGAGCTTCAAATCTTTTTGTAAGATATTCCAGGAAACGGGAGCAGAGTAGGAGAAGGCCCTTTTGCCTAGTTCAGTCCTCACTGAGGGAACACGGCAGGTAATAATGTCCTGAGAGCGCACGCTGTAGCTGCACTCACGCAGAGACATGGAGAAGATGCAGCAGACCAAGAAGTGATTTAAAGATGAAAATGTACCAGTAGGAGAGTGCGTGAAGTTAATGATGTCCAGTTAACACTGGTCCTGGACCAAAATATATTTCTGGACATTCCCGTCCGGCTCTCTGAGTCACTGAACACCAAATTCGGTTGGAAGGAGGACCAACTTTAGTCCGGTTCGAAAAAAACGGGTCAGTTTGATGATAAAAGACTGCAGAGAAGCCTGAGGGAGCTGCCGTCCATCAGCTCGCCGGAAGTGAAATGTATAGTATAGTGGTTTTAGCATGAATGTTTTACAATAAATCTAATACAATCTGTTTTAACTTGACATCCAATTTTTGCAATGAAATAAAAAAAATGAATGCAGTCAGCAGTTAAAATTGAATTATTAAATTGCTCTACTGCCCCCTCTGGTGGTTCACAGAAAATACAACTGGCACGTTGCGTCATCATGACAATCAACAGACACATAGAGAATAATATATATATCTGTGTGTGTATGTAATAGAATAAATAATAATGGAGGTAATAGGTTTGACAGTTTATGGAAGGACTCTTGTGATTTCTGACCTGATCAGGTTAATTGTAGATTATGATTGTTAGTTTTCTGAGTGTTGACATACCCCTTATATCAAACATCTCTGAATAAGAGCAGTTGATGAGATTTCCTCAGTTATTAAACTAGTCAACAGAGTAGTGTAGATTTTGCTCCTTACAGATTACCTGTGATGGCGATGCTGATGATGACGAGGACGAAGACGGACCAGCCCGCCTCTGCAAAATCTCTGCAACTCCCCAAGTTGTACATAATTGCTAAGGATAAAACATGCAACATATAATTTGCATTCACTAGAGGCATGAGATTTATAGAAGGAAAGATTAGGAGTTTATCTTAAAATGTGAGCTCCGATGAGTAAATTGTATTTTGGCATATTTCCTTATCTGTGTTAGGTATCAATATTCATGTTAGCTTATTATTAGGGTTTATATTGTTTAGGGGTGTTAATTTAGGCCTAGGAATTAAAAGGGATGGGAATTGTTAGTGTTTTCCACTGTACATTAATTGTAATTACATGACACATAGCTTTTTACAGATATATTACATATAGGATTTTTGTTGACATGATTTTTTTATCATGTCAAAAGGGGGAATTGAAATATAATTTTATCAGATAATATATTAACTTAATGAAATGTCTAGATATATGTATCCTGTTTTGATATTTAGAATGATATTGTGTTAAAACATGATCTGATTCAGTTTCCGGTAGAAAGTGTAGTTTTAGTTACATACCTAAAACTCCCAACATTCACGCACCCACCCATTATAGAACACAAGATGGCGAGATATTATTGGTTGAGAGCTGGGTCACACGATAAGAGTAGGACCTCCCATTCGCTGATGGTGATGATGACTCCAGGAGGTGTGGCCGAGCTCTGAAGAAGATGGGTTGTCTGTTTACGCTCGGCGCCATTGTTCGTGACCGCATGGTGGAGTTACAATGGCCCAGGGCTGGTGATCTTGTACTTTACATGTAAAATAAACCTTCTGAAATGGAAGATAATTGCTCCTCCTCTCCCTGCTCCAGATCAGAACATATTCTTACACTTTTTTTTGGTAAGACTGGGATATATTTTTAAATGAATATTGTCAGATCAAGACAAATCTGTCTGAGATCACTGATCTTTTTGATCTTTTTTTGGATGTGTTTTTGGGCTGGGAGAAACCGGAGCATGCGGAGTAAACCCGTGTTTTCATGGAGAAAACATTTATTATTATTTTTGTCTTTGGGAGAAACCGGAGCACGCGGAGTAAACTCGTGTTTTCATGGAGAAAACATTTATTATTATTTTTGTCTTTAGGAGAAACCGGAGCACGCGGAGTAAACCCGTGTTTTCATGGAGAAAACATTTATTATTATTTTTGTCTTTAGGAGAAACCGGCGCACGCGGAGTAAACCCGTGTTTTCATAGAGAAAACATTTATTATTATTTTTGTCTTTGGGAGAAACCGGAATTTAATTAAAAGGCTGAGTTTTTCCGGAGCAGTCCGTCGCCACGTCTACCCTGTCCGCATGCCAAACCGGAAGTCAGAAAATCACATTTTTTAATAATAAAATGTTTTTTCCTTGCCACCCACCTTTGGAAAGGCGGTTTCCAATGCTTGTCCACATACTTATTTATCATACCTATTAAGATCCCCAAGGTGGAGTGTTCTTTAATCCTAAATAAGTCCCTCAGCTCTTTGAGGGAGCAGGTCCGTCGGATCTCTTTCAGCATGTTGTTGAAAGACCTTTTTGTATTTGTCACTCTTAACTTTAACGTTCGGTATGCGTTGCTGATTCGATCCATTATGCGGGAAATCATATCGTTCAAAAATGACTTTTCCTCTTCATTCGGCATGCTGTTCTCGTTGACTGTGCCAACTTCACACAAAACTAGCAGTGTTGTGTTTCTGGAGTAAGTCAACAAAAAAACGAAGTCCAGATGACATGATTCAACCTTTTTTGTTGTTATATACCTGGATGACTGAGAAAACAAACTTTGTGTTTTTGAAACCATTAGTGAAAAGGCCAGACTTCAGGGGTATCTGCAAGAAGGGGTCTCTGCAGGCAAATTCGGAAGGCGTATCTGGGCGCTCATATCTGATTGGACTATAGGAAAGTGGGCGTATCTGGGCGGTCATATCTGATTGGACGATATGAAAATGGGCGTTTCTGGCCGGCCGGATCTGATTGGACGATAGAAAAATGGGCGTGTCTGGACGGTCACATCTGATTGGACGATAGAAAAATGGGCGTGTCTGGACGGCCACATCTGATTGGACGATAGAAAAAAAAAGGCTGAACGATAGAAAAAAAAAGGCTGAACGATAAAATGCCGTAACCACAGACACATGATGTCTAAAAACAAGGCGTTATTGGCAGATTGTGTTAACCACAGGCATATTATGTCTATGGTGTTAACCGGTTCGACATTAGCGGCGTCTCGGTTCTACATCGCTCCAGTATACTGCCGCGGCGTCTCCATAACTTCTTTTTTCGACTCTCTTAACACAGAACTTCTGGTTACATTTCAAAATAAGAGCAACATAACTGGGTAGTGGGGAGAGCTAAATGTTAGGTTTTTTTTTAATACCTAGCCGTAACATTAAAAAACAAATTCCATTTTGGTTGTTGAAAAATGTGAAAAAAGTTACAATCGATTCATAAAGAAAGAAAAATATTTATGATACTTAAACTGGCCTTGGGACAAAGGAGGTTTCCTTTACCTTCACATTTTCTTGTTCAACCTGCAGTCACTGCAGATGAGTGATTCTCAGTTTCTGTAAGATTTCTGCACCTGGAGCAGGTATTCTGTTTACTGGTTCACTTCCTCAGCTGTCTCACATTTTAAAGGTCAACCCTACTCCATGTTTCAGTAGAAAACCAGCACATTTAGGAGTCAGTACATAACCAGACTTTTGGCCCTCACACCTGTACCCAGTTGCTCATGCTGCATGATGAGATCAGATTTATCCATATTTTAGAAATTACATTTAGCTTAGTCGACAAAACAATACAAATGAAGACCGTCTTAAAAACCCTCTTGGTTTTGCAGTAAGCAGCCTGATTTCAAACTGACATCTTGGCCAAAGGTACAATAAAAATCTTTGTGTTCTCAGAAAAGTTGTTTCAGGACCTCCAATAAACTTATGTACACATCAAAGCACACAAGACAGATTCAGGAATTCTCTTTGTTTTCCAGATTTCACATTTGTTATTACCTTAAAACATACTCAGACAACATTTGATGCATCATTGAATTTTTTTTATTGTGTTTATTGGGACATCCATTTCTAGAAGTCATCGTAGCATCTGTTGGAAACACAGAACATAGTACAGTTAGGGTGTTGCTAGTTGTTACTTAATCCTGGATTGGATTTTAAAGTTAATTTTGATATTTTTTCACAAGGAAAAAAAAAGTTGATTTCCTAAAGTTTAACTATAAATGAAGGAATTTGTGCATTCAGGTAATTTAAAATTAAGTAATTTCTCTAACATCCAACCCATTTTAGCCACTGAGCCATACCAAACACCCATAATCTATTCTTGAATGAATTATTGACTATTATTGACAAATTACAGACTTTTTATTGAATAAGTTATTACTCATTATTGAATCATTGACAATTTACACTCATGTTTGTGTTAACTCATGTTGCAACAAGGTCAGCAACTTTTGACTATTACTATGAACTATGTTAAACTTTGGAGGTGATTTATTTTGAAAGTCAACATCAGATGTTGGTCAACATTGTTGAGCAACATCTTGGGGTCTTCTAGAGTCAACCTGAAGTGAGAGTGGTCCCTGACATGGCAGAAAGACATAGATATAATTAACAGCTTTTATTTATTTATTTTTCAGCTAATAACAACTATTATTTATTTGTTTTTCATATTTTTCAGTTATACTCAGCTTTTAAATATTTATTTTTCAAGTATTAAGAACTTTTATTTTCAGCTTTTATTTTGAAAAGCAACACCCAGTTGTTGTAAACGTGCACAGTGAGAGCTGCTGTGGAGGCTCACGTTACCTCAGTGCGTTACGACAACAACGAGAGAACGGTCGAAACTATCGTGACCTACAATAAACGTACTTCAATAAAATGCATAAGTGAAAACATAACATACTTTATAAGTACAATAAATCATACTTCTTTGTCAAACATCGCAAAGAAACGTTACCTCATCAATAATCCTCGTGACTTTAAGGGTTACTCACAGCCAATCAGTGTTCGCCGCCGACAAACGCCTATTAAATACTGTTAGCCAATCAGTGTTCGCCGCCCATAAACGCCTACTCGCCAGAAACGCCCACTTTTGGTCTGCAGAGACCCCCTTCTCGGTATCTGAGGCAGGCTTGAAACACAAGAGTCAGGGTGGCTTCGGGGTAATACCAGATGGCTAGGCCTCAGACTGACGAAGCCTCTTGGAAGAGGGGCGAAACGTTTCTTTTTAACAAAAAAACAAAGTCCAGATGACATGATTCAACCTTTTTTGTTGTTATATACCTGGATGACTGAGAAAACAAACTTTGTGTTTTTGAAACCATTAGTGAAAAGGCCAGACTTCAGGGGTATCTGAGGCAGGCTTG